TTTTCTTTACATCTAGATTTTAGAGCTAGGAGATAATTGTGTCTTAAAACAAAGCTTAAAAACACAAGGTGTAGAGATGGAAGTTACACTTACCAAAAGACAAGGCAGGTGGGGAAGAGGGCCTGAGACTTAACAAGGGGCCCAGTGACTTTTCTGGTTTCTCTGAGGATGAAGATTTAGGAAGGGGGCAGGGAATTCACAGCAAGAACAATTTCTAACGTAGCAATGATCAGCAACGGAGGACCCAGATGAAGATTCTGGCATTTTAACAGTTCACCGAGCCTGGTAATGGATGTCTCAACTGGTGCTTGTAAGAGTAGACAGGTGTGTGTGTGGGGAGGCAGTAGGTGGCATGGTGCTTAGAGTGCTGGACTCCCACATAGCTGACTATGGTTCAAGTCCTAGACCTGGTGGCTTACTTTCTCACTCCCTCTCTTTGCTCTCTCTCTCTCCTTCTCTCTCTCTCTCTTTCTCTTTCTCTCTCTCTAGTGAGCATGTGTGCTGTGTAGCAAAATTTAAAACATAATGACAAGTAAAATTAAATAAAAAAAAATTAGGCAAGTGGGCAGGCAAGTGATATGTTGAAGGCCTGTCAAGGACAACAGAGTCTTTAGTTAGCAGTGTTTAGGGGAAAAAAAGGTTACAGCCAGGGGCATTAGCAGTTTTTGGTGTGGTCACTTAAAAAGAACAAGATAAAATTCTAACCCTATGAATTAGGACAAGTGGAACTACTGTGTTTTTTTTTGAAGCTAGAAGGCAAATTTCCAGTATTAGCCAAGAAGAATATACAGGGTGATGCATTGCCCCAGAATGACTTGAGAGTTGGGCTGTAAGCATCAGAATCCGATGTCAGGTATTGTTGAACTGGGAGAGTAGAGAGATCCACTGGAAAGTAGAGAGATCATGGGTCAAGATGTGACAGAAAACAGGTAAAGTGAGGCTGGGGTAGAGTGTTGAGAAAAATCAAAGGTATACTGTTGCTTTATGTCTTTTTTCACAGCAGATAATGGTCATCAATTCTTGAACCCAAAGACAAGAGTTAAGTATCCTATTGGTTGTTTAAGTTTGGCAAGAGAATAATGAAATAATTTGACCTCTAAGAAATGCGGCCTACTAATAATCTTTGACAAAGACTGTAAACAGAGAAGGGAGTTGCTATAAACATAGCTAGCTCACTCTTTTTGTGCATGTTTTTAGTTAAGTAAACTTCTGATGGCCTTTGGTCACGTCCTTACATTTTATTCCAGAATCTTCTCAGGTGCTGAGTTGGTGTTTGGGGGAGGCATTCCAACTAAGGGTTATTGAAAAGAGTTGGGCTTTTAGCCCCATCAAGACCTAGATAACAGGTGAAAGAGGGCTAAAGAATTGGAAAGTAAAACAGTTTTATAAAGAGTGCTTTGAATTTTATTTTCCAGGAAACCATTCTTTGATACAAATCCTTTTTACTTGTCAACCTGGAGTTTGATTTAGTTCGATAGCACAAGTAATTCAAAAGTCGCTCTTGCAGATCTGGAATGCTAATCCTAAGGATGCCAATATATTTTGGGGATACAGAAACCAGACGTTTTTAAGATCGGATAGGACCTTAAAGGTCATCTAGATTAAACTGTTTCAGGATCAGGTGGTGGTGCAGTGGTGGTACAACTGGACCCACATTGGAAGGGGTCTTAGGTTCATGTTCCAGGACATCGCTGAAGGTGGTGGGTGCATGCACGCTCATGCCCATGACTCCGGCTGGCTTGGACTTGAGGTGGATTATAGTATGGGAATCTTGCTGGGGGTACTTTTTTTTTTTTTTTTCTCATGGAAGAAAAAAAAAAAGATGAAATTGCTTCATTTTTATAATTGAGAAGAACAAGGGCTGCTTAATGCTAGGGTGTGAATGGCTGGACCCCGTCTAAAACTTATGAAACTGGATTGCTAGTCCGCTGATTCCATTACCATGCCTATCCTACTTCAGATTTAAACACACAGCATGCAGACAGATGCACAATATTTTATTTGAATTTGTTCTCATGTTCAAACCAGTGTATTATTTCCTGTGAGAACTTATCACAGGCATTTCAGTAGTGCTGGCATTAGTTTCATCAAGTCCTGTGGTACAATGTCAAAATGTATTTATAAAGTTTCCTACTTTAATCTTCAACTGGTGGTGATGAATTCTATTCCCATCATTCGAAAAATGTATTTTTTGAGTTTTGCTGAAATGAGCTTCTTTTTCGCTTTGTCACAAGTAGAAAAGGACCTGATGGATCTTTCTTTCTTTCTTTCTTTCTTTCTTTCTTTCTTTCTTTCTTTCTTTCTTAAAGGAGGATTTTTGCCTTAGGGCACTTGTGCTTGCCGGAGATAAAGAGAGACAGTGAGAGGGAAAGTGAGGAATCAGCCCCCAAGGGGACTGGCCATGCTGCAATCCTTTCTCCTCCATTCTCTTCCTGGGATCTTGGGCAAGCACGCACACAAGGCTGGCATGAGTTTTAAGCTACCCGGTCCAGGACTCAAACCACGGTCGGCCATGTGGGAGTCCAGTGATGTAACTGCTACATCATCTGCTGGCCCTGTGATGCATTTTTATCTCTGTGTGTTGTTTTAGACCTGGTCTCACTGTGTGGAGATCTCGTAGCCTCATTCTCCCAAGTAGGTGGGACTATAGGCAGCCACCAGATCCTCGCTTTTAGGGTGGGTCGGTGAGAGAATCCAACCTGGGCTTCCTGCATGGCCTCCGCCTGCCCAGCAGCTGTGTCCAGTATGTTAACACCGCTAGACAAGATTTTTATCTTTCAGGCTGAGCATTTGGGTGATCAATCAGAAAATTTTATTAAACATTTTTTCCCCTTATGGAATATACGGAAAAGGAAAGGGAATTCTGGCCATTTTTCATCTTGGTCAAGTTTTTTGTGCTATTTTCTGTGATTCTGTTACGGCTGTGAACTATGACCATACACGAAAACGATCTGTTTTAGGTCATGGCTGTGGGCAGAGATTAATTGGTGAAAAATGGGCCTGTTTGTGGGATTTACCACACAGTAAGGTTTCTCAGCTCCCTGGAAAAATGTGGAGTTAGCTCTTTGAGAAGTGCAGGCCTGTCATGAAGTTGAAGGGAGCATTTTGGTGGAGGGAAACACAGTTCACTCTCTAAGGCAGTTATGATTGGTTAGAGTCCAAAGCAGTCGCTTTAGTAGAGCGAAGTTCTTTTCTTCCCACTTTCAAGTCTGTTTCCTAATGTCGCTAGTCTCACCCCTACTTCACAGATGGCATCTTTCTTGATTTCTTTCAACGCCAAAGGATCCAAACTGGGGAGTGGACTTGAAGGGGCCTCCTGGCCCTCCCACCCCCCCTCTCTAGGGAGCATGCTGTTCCCGTGGAAAAATCTCCGATCTGGAAAGAACATTTGAGACAGCAAATCCATGCTGTGTCAGGGCGGGGCACACACAAGATGCGACCCGTGGGAATGTACCGCAAGGGCGCAAAGTAGAGGTCGGGTCCTTAGTTCCTCGTTTGTGAAAATTCTTGAGCAAGACTTTGGGATGTTTTCAGAGCGCACCCCACGTGCACGCTCCTCCCCAGGAGCTACTGCGAGGATCCAGGGCCTGTGGAGTGGCCCAGGAATCCACGTGGTTGTGGAGTTCAGGCCTAGCCACAGTTTCTAGGGTTTCTTCACCATGGCCTTGGCAGTGGCTGGCCCTCTCGGGTGCCAGCTCTGCTCAGACAGTCCGAGGGTCCACATGCACCCAGCTGAGGTTAGAGGTGGCTCCCGGCTCTCCCCTCCCACTCTTGGCTCCGTATCCCCACTAGGCACTTCCGGGGAACGCCAGTGTCTTCTTTCCCCAAGACCCTGGGGATGACCTGTCGGTCCGTGCTGGGCGTCTGTGACTCACCCCCGGTGCGCGTGGTCCCAGCCCGGGCGGGTGTTCGGACTCTCCTCCCCCGGGCACGCTCAGGCGGCGGGGTGCGGGCTCGCGTGCCCGGGGCGGCCTGGGCCGGGTGGCGGCGGGACGGGG